TAGGCACGGTCCGGTTTAACTGTATTTAACCCTCAAATAGGAAATCTAATCAAAGTAATATCATGATTTAGCGTAGGCAGTTTCCATATAGGATTACAGACATTTAGTGCAAAAGCCGAATCGAAGAGCTTGAATTGATTTGATTTGGTTAAGCCGGTTTGAACAAATCCGGGCAGTTTGGGCCACTCAGATAACCCTGCATCGAATGCTAATGGGCTGTGGAAAGCCACTTATTATTGGCCGGATGTGGACCTCATGATCATCAATATGACATCGTAACATGTGCAAGCCTTTCCTTTTTTTTTAATTTTTTTTAATAACTAAACGGGCCAATTTGTTATGGAGTATGATTCTGATAAATGATTTAGTCAAATTTGGGGCCAATTTGTCTGCAACCCAAATTTTCTAAGAGCCATTTTGTCAAACTTGTCAGATTTATATTCCAGGTTTGGTGCCTACAATTAGTTTGGATTGAATTGGATAACTCTAGTAAGCTACAATTGTGTTACAACTTGGGCCGCATTTGTTCCTTTCTCCAAATGAAATAAATATAACCTTATTTTATTTATTCGGACCACCGACATTGGGCATGCGCCAGCCCTCGTACATGATCTTACAACTTGGAGACCTATGTTTTTAGTAAACAATCACCCCCTCTTTGGGGTTTAAACAAGAGTGAGGAGTTCACCCGTACTACATGGAGTAGGTGGCGACAAATTCCCCGCCCCATGACGAGCAGATGAACATGACTGAATGTATGTGGAGCAAAGGGCCGCGTATGGCCTGTAAGTTGAGTGAAGGTTGGGTTTTTTTTTAATTGTTCAGTCAGTGAGAGAAGGTTGCGTTGGCAAAAGGGCCCAAATGATACTTGGTGGAGCAAAATTTCATTATATGTGTATTTAAGTGGAATATATTAATATAAAGGATGGCAATAATTGTCCTGTCACGCATTAGCAGTTTGGATTGGACAATTATTTATATGAATTATTATTACATGGGTCGAAAATGAAAATGTCGGTGGTAACGAAATCAATGATCACTACATAATTTTATTCCCTAATTTTTCTGAGTGCGTGTGTACTGGCTGCTGCCACACTGATCAATACTGAAGATTGTACACCTTTATAATTTCATATATTTATACAATTTCCAACATCACAAACTGAGACAATACAGACTTTTCCCAACACTTGTGCGCACGTGCTCCACGTGCTTGGAGAGACAGACAGACAGATTAAGAAAGTTTTTTTAATAAAAAATTTAAAATTTAAATACAAACAATAATCTCAAAACTTATAATCAAACTCGCATGCAAAGCAATGATGGATGCATAGTACCCAAAAAAGGGACCCACATTGGGAAAATAAGGGGACATAGGGAGGGAAATATGGGGAACTTGGGAGGGGATAAGGGAGGGGTCCACGACCATCTTGGGCTTTAAGTGGCTCCGTCCTTGGGCGAAGATGACAAATACAATGTCGCGGTCAATTTACTTAATTCACGTTTGTAAGAAGTTATTTTTTGGGGGAATTACGAAGCAATAAAAATTTATTAGATCAACGAACATAAGAGAACAAAGGAGAAAGACTGTAAAATGATTAGGTTTGTTAGAAGCTTTATTGTTAAGCAAATGTTGGAATAAAGGAACAAAGATATTGAAAATAAGATTGACACCGCTAGCTAATTTAAATATAATAATAATCACCTTCACATCAATATTCAGTAAATTAGTTGACAATTACAAAAGACATGATTATGAATTAGATTCTATCATTCTAATTAATAATTTATCTCCCATCACTCTCATTGCTAATGTCACATTAAAAAACCAATTAGAGGGTTGCTCATTCGGCAAGTTATCTGCGGGCATATATGGCCCATTTTGCAGAAAGAAAGAAACCCACGCAAATGCATTGATTCTTTTATCACCTTTTTCTTTGCTCCTCTAAGTAAATAATGAATATAATCCAAATTGATTAGAGCGAATCTGCTATCCACTCAACATACGAGTTCGAATTCTTCTCCCGGTAATTTAGAACAGTTTCAAGTATATTATCGCTTGTATTTAGTACCATAATCACAAATATGGGACGGCTAGCTACCAAATTGAATATGTGAATTTGGTTGACTGATAGTTGCTTGTTTACAAATATAAAAAGACTTACTTTTCCTCCTCAACAACAAATTGGTATTTCTTAAATTAGTTGAGCGGCCTCGTCATCATTCTGTTGTGAGCTTGAAGCTTTTGTCAAGTTAGTCCTGGATTTAATTAATTTACAAATTTAATTAATAAAGGAAAAAGCCATTGGTTACTAAAGTCATCTCCAAAGAAAGTTGGCTTTTAATTAGAAGACATCCATCTTTTCACACTTTTTTCGAATCAAAAAGGAAAAAAGTTATGGCCAAACAAGAGAATAAGAAACGCACACAAAATAAAAAAAGACGAAGAAGAATAAGAAGAAGGTCCCGCCTGCACTCCTGCATGCACGTGAAACTTTATTTGGAAACTTCTTTTTTGCGGTTGGTTTTAATCCTGGGGCCATGGAAAAAATTGGACTGGCCCTAAAAAGATATGCTCCTGTCGCCTAAAAAATATATATAATAAAATCTAATTATGGTTCTTTTTTAAATAATTTATAGTTTTCATTATTAAGAAGATTTTGAAAAATACAATTTTACATAGCTAACATGAACTTGCCGTGAATCTATATATATAAAGCAAAATGCTAAGAATGGTGAAACATTCAAAATACCAAAAAATGCCCATGGTTAATGTAAACATTAAGAATTGAAATTATTAATTAAATGAGAATAATATGGTAAATTCACACTTTTTTATATTTAAAAAAATTAAAATTAAAAGAAAAATCAGATAATGGATCCTATTTTTATGAAACACAACTATCCATTATCTTTTTTTATTCTAAAATAAAATTAATTTTTTTTTAAAAAAAAGCATCTCACAGGCGCGTGTGGAGAGGCTAGTAAAGATAAAATAAAAACAAAAATATATAAACAAGTGGGCGAGCGTGAATCGAGAGGCTAGTTAACTTTATTGTACAGAAAATTGGAAAAACAAAAATTTATGACTTGATATCTATAATATAGACATGCATATTCGTTGCTATTTCATGGAGGATGTCTTTTTTTCTTAATACATGGACACATGATTATGTTGAATTTGAATAATTGATGGCATGATTACTTTTCTTAATATAATGGATAATCTACATTAACAATCTAACGGCGTAATATGTAAGATTATATGAAACCTCCTAGTTTGCTTGTCATCTACTTTTTTTTCTTCTTCACAAAATATATTTGAAGTACATTTCCTTTTGTTTGGTTTCACAAGTAACTCATGCAATCAATTGCCTTACCCCATACCAATAAAATATAGAAAAAAAAAGGAGAACAAAAATCACTCTTATATAATAATGGTGGTTATCATTCCAATTCATGCTAAAATATTATCCAAAAAAGTTCCTTAATTAATCATCATCAATTATCTTTTTAATTAAAAACGAAAGAACTCTCAATCTCAAATTGGTAAAGCGAAATAATGAGTGGGATGTATGTTTATGGTCTTGGTCTTGTATCATTCGTCTTACTTTAAATAATTTTACAGAAACAACATGCATGCAGCAGACAAGCTAAAAAGCACCCAAAAAAAATAACCAAGAGCAACAAATTGCACCAAAGCTGGCCCTGCTTCATCATGATGATGAACATTGGAAGTCGAAGCAAGCAATTTGTAATGTTACAAATTGTCAGCTATTGCATGCAGAAAGAAAGAGGATCAGACCTAATGGTCTGACTGTGACACTCTACCCACCCTTAGATCTTTGACTATTTTGTTCATCGCATGTGGGTCTTCTTCCCTATAATCCTTACCAATTATTATTTTTATTTTTTATAAATAAGAAAAATAAAAAGAAATAAAGTCCCCATAGAATAAGCAAGGGACTAACATGGGTGCATACGAATACTAGATATATGTTACCTGTTTTTCACCAAACACGTGACAAACAAGTCCTTGTTTATATGAAATATTGGATCATTGATCTTTCCAATTTGGCAACTAGAACTAGAAGGGCGTTGGGAAGAAAGAAATAAGAAGAAGAACAAGATGGGTAATCTCATAGCCTTGATAAAGGAAAAATAAACATTGTCAACAGAGTCCCCCTAGCGAAAAGGGCCTTGACTTGCACATCAGTAAATTCGAATCTCCATCGCACCCCTCTCATTCCTAATTTTGACAAAAAAAAGAAAGAAAAAAAAGAAAGGAAGCATTTATTTGTTTTCATACTTGTGTTGCAAACATATATGATAGTTTGGGGATGGGAATATTTTCACACCAAAAATATCTATCTGATGGGTTTGTTTAATGAATAAAGGTATCTTTCACTATATTTATATAGAGAGAAAAAAGAAGTTGCCCAACCCCCTCTCACACTGGGGTGTGGATTGTAGAGATACAACCAGTTTTGCTATGAAAATGACTCCACCATAATATATTTCATGTGAATCTTCATTGTTGTTAATTATATCAATTTTTGTCATTATACTTGTTTTGCACACATCTGATATTCTATAAATATATGGATATTTTTAAGAAGGAATGTATTTTTCTATTATTTATACAATTTGAAAAGTATACCAAAAAAAAAAAAAAAGACATTGAAGATAGTGATTATAGTGACAAGAAAATAAAAATTATGGGTCTCATTCACATCAATTAGTTGTATAATTTAATTTAATTTAATTTATGATTTGGAAAAGATGTTATGACTGATGTTTAATGGTTTTTGACTCTCCACATGATTGGTGTGCACTGTCCCCACCCAGAACATAAAATACAGCTTTTCTCTGCAATTGCATCTTTGTTTTACCTTTTACCTTTTGCAGATGGAAAGATAGTTTAAAAGAAGTTAAAAAGAAGAAATGGCTACTTGCTAGAGAGAGAGAGAGAGAGAGAGAGAGAGAGAGTCATAATTCAAAATATTCAAGGAGAAGGCCTGAAAGATCCAAAACACACCTCCCCACCATTCCTAGGCTTCCCAAACCTCTCTCTCTCTCTCTCTCTCTCCTCCATTGGTTGGAACCCACAATCTATATTTTCATGTGTTCTTAAACTTAGTAAAGCAAAAGCAAACAACAATGAAGCTTCTTCTTGTTATTGCTCTCAATTTGCTTTTGCTGCTTGTACACCAAAACCAGCCATGTCCCATTTGTGTTGGTGCCACACCTGACCCACTTGTTTCCTCCCTATCAGCTCCGCTTTCCTCACCCATTTCTCCAATTGCTTCATCAATGGCTTCCATCTCTCCAGGTACTTAATACTTATGCTTTGCTCTGCTCTCCATAGACTAATGACTCTTCCTTTCATTTCTAGCAAGTGGGGGTTTTAATTGGGTCACGGGTGCACCACTTCCAAAATTCGAATTTCAAAAATGACCACCAAATTGCGTGCATTTAGTACAATATATTGAATTCAATTTCTCTGATTTTATCAACTTCTGTGATGTTGGTGCAAAAATCTCTTGGTTTTAATGTATGAGATATTGCCCATTTGCTCAATTTTTGCTGAAACACGCCTCTATATATTTGATGTGTAATCAGAAATTCAAGAAGGAAGTGAAGGGCATCAAATGGAGCCACATAGGAAAATGCTAATTGCTCTCATTGTCACCTGCACTGCACTTGGTGTAGTTTTGTTGTCACTGTTGTGCTTGTGGGTTTATCACAAGAAGTGTCCACACAAGTCCCACAAGAAAAGTGCTCAGAGCTCAGGTACTTTCATTTGTACCAAGCACGTTTTGCCCCCTAAATCTTGCTTCAATTTGTGGGTTTTAGTATGCTTGTAAATGTTGTTCTCTGAGATTTTTTTTTCTGTTTGGTTCTGTTTCTTTGGTTTGTGTAAGAAGATGCTGAGAAGGGGCTTGCATTGGGTCCATTTATGGGTAAATTCAATTCCATAAGGATGGTTTCTAAGAAAGGATCTGTTTCAGTAATTGAATATAAAGTACTCGAAAAAGGCACCAACAATTTCCGGGACAGCAACATTATTGGTGAGGGTGGATTTGGATGTGTTTATAAGGCTCGGTTGGATGATAATTTGCTTGTTGCAGTCAAGAAACTAGACTGTGCAAGTCAGGATGCTGAGAGAGAATTTGAGGTAACTTTTGCTCAAAATTTTAGTTGGAGTTTTGTATAATGCTGTATTTATTGTAAATCTTATCTGATGTATTTATTGTGTCTAAATTGCAGAATGAGGTGGAGTTGTTACATAAAATTCAGCATCCAAATATAATTTCTTTTTTGGGTTGTAGTACTGATGGTGACACAAGGTTCATTGTTTATGAGTTGATGCATAATGGATCTCTGGAAACTCAATTGCATGGTAATACATTTATTTTCTGTTATTTTTTAAAAAAATTAAAAAAGGAATATCATGAAATATATATTTTTGTCCTATTGTTGCAGGACCGTCTCATGGTTCAGCACTAACATGGCATATGCGAATGAAAATTGCTCTTGATGCAGCAAGGTGAGCTTGTTTTCCCAGTTGTGGAGTCCTTTGGTTGTTATGGGTTTTTTACATTTTAACATATTGGGTACTGTTGACCAGAGGATTAGAACATCTGCATGAGTACTGCAACCCTCCAGTGATCCATAGAGATCTGAAAACATCTAATATTCTTTTAGATGCCAACTTCAATGCCAAGGTATGATTATATAAATGATTGTAGTGTCTCATCTTTCCTTATAAAATTATTGAGCTTGTATTAAAATATTTCAATAATGCATTATCATCCTCTAGCGCTAAATTCACTGAAGCTTTTTTTTTTTCTCTCTCATGGTGGCTTGTTTCAGCTTTCTGATTTTGGTCTTGCTGTGGCTGATGGGGCCAAAAACAGTAATAGCATCAAGCTCTCTGGCACCTTGGGTTATGTTGCTCCAGAGTATCTTTTAGATGGTATGCCAACTAAACTTGTAATAATTGCACGGTGTATTCTTTAATTCTCACTGGTTGCTGTGTCTACTAAACTGTAGTTTCTTTTCCCTAAGCTAAATCTAATCTAATTGTTCTTTGGACCCTTGACAACTACTACGGTACTGCGTTTGATTGACATAATAAAGTACGTGTCTTTTAGTTAAGCTATCTAGGGGCCGTAGCTGCACATGTTCCGCCACCGGGTTCATATACCATTTTAGATTTGGAAGAGGAAATCCCAGAACTACTTGTTATACTCGAGCTTAACTGAAATTAGGGATGTTATAAGTCATTTATGTGGAAATTTGAACTTGAGAGAAGGGAGAGGTGGACGGCTTGATAGTTATCAACTTTTGGATGACCCATTGATTTACTGAAAAATTTGGATTCACCTTGAAGACAAGGTTTTAGCTGAATAATATGTAAATTTTTGTTTATAGACATGGATGGCATATGCATGTTAGTATCACACATTTTAAATAATAATGGCCACCAAAATGCACTTAGTCAGCGAGAATACTAAATAGCACAATTTTCTAAAGAGCTGTGTGAGCTTCCCTGCACCATACTTCTCGGCTTTCACTTTTGTTATTATAGCATTTGAAACAAGTTTTGGTGGTAAGCAAGTCACTCTTATGATTTATCAGGTAAATTGACAGACAAGAGTGATGTCTATGCTTTTGGGATTGTGCTTCTGGAGCTAATACTAGGAAGAAGGCCTGTAGAAAAACTGGCACCAACTCAGTGCCAATCTATAGTCACATGGGTATGCCTTTCCTCTCAATTTTACTTTATTTGCATAATTCCTGTCCAAAACTTAAATATTTCAAAACTCAATGCTGTAATACAGGCCATGCCTCAGCTCACTGACAGATCAAAGCTTCCAAACATTGTGGATCCTGTGATCAAAGATACAATGGATCTGAAGCACTTATACCAGGTTTGTGAATTACAAACCCAGTATGTTCAGTTGCAATTAGTTCTATGACAGACTCGTGCTTGACTATGTGTATCGATTCTTCTGTTTGTACTGAATGGACACAAAATTTCATGCTGTAGTATAATTGATGAGTTGCAATGCATTACGCACAGGTTGCTGCAGTAGCTGTGTTATGTGTGCAACCAGAACCAAGTTACCGCCCACTGATAACCGATGTTTTGCATTCCCTTGTCCCGCTTGTTCCCGTCGAACTTGGTGGGACGCTAAGAGTTACACAACCTACAGCTCCAGGGAGCCCCCCAGCTGGTCATTGATGCACAAGGCATGTATGATGACACTTTTCCAACATTCTGGGTTCCTGCTGCTCAATTGACTGCTCCAAATCCCACATTGATTTTCTTACTTATATTTTGCTGGGAAGTCAATGCCTTCAGTTATTTCAGAGGAGGAAAGTTGGTCTGGTAGGAATGTAGAGCTATTGGCATCGTCTATCGCATTTGTAAATCGGATCAATATGTTTCAAGTTGCTTGTGCATATGAGGGCATTCGTAGAAACACTAGCTAATTTCATTTTTGACCTTTGTTTTTCAGTGTAAGAAATCAGCTAATTTTCAGTGGTAGTTGGTAATTACCTCTGGAGTCTGGACCTGTGTTTGTTCTGAGAGTTCTGTTGGGAAGGTAAAAGCTAACAATCATCTTTTGCTAATGAAGTCAAATTGTTAAGGAAAGCCTCAAATATTACCATCTTATGATTACAAACATCGATTTCTTTCTGAGTCCATCTAAAGTTCTCTTAAAGCCTGAAGAGTGGAGAGCCAGAAAGTATATATAAATGAGAAAATCCTGTTTTTATTCTTAAAAAAAAAGTCTTATTTCTAATTGATTCTCTTCAGGTTTGATCTTTTTTAACACCCTTTTTTTTTTTTTTTTTTTTTTTTTTTTTTTTTTTGTGGGTGTGGGTTTTCCCCTCAAGTTCATTTAAAAAAGAAAAGAAAAAGAAACCTACAAGACAAGAATAAGGGCAAAGCAGTCTTAGCAACCCTAGCTACTCGAATGGAAAATGGCAATTTGATAGTCAACATCTCTATCCGGCCATCTCCAGCCATGTGCTAAATTTTTTTTTGACTAAATTTGGAGGGCCATATTTGGCTCTTTAGCCCTCCAGCCAGGCTACTTAGGTCATCTCCAGCCATATGGCTAAATGTAGTCCATGACTAAAAATTTAGCCCTCCAAAATATTAATTTTTTAAAGAATAGTGTTGCGCTAAATTTTTCCATCTTCAAACATGCATGACTATATTTTAGGGTATTTCATATTTTATTATTTTGAGAAAGGGAGTGGGGAGTACTTTAATGTTTGGTGGTTGAAAAGCACATGGTGGGGCCCACTATGAATTTGGCCTAGGCCAAAGCTGGGCTACATTTGGCCCAGTTGAAGGGCTAAATGGCCAATTGTGACCAAAATTTTATTTAGCCCATGGCTGGACATGAGTTTTGTATTATTTTAAGGCTATATTTGGGATATAGCCCATGGCTGGAGATGACCTTATAGCCCAGTTTTGGCATAGGCCAAATTTTTTGTGTGGGCCCAATGCATGTGCTTTTCAAAAAGAGAAAGTATCATGCGTGGGCAAGAGTACGAATCATCTCGTGCAACTATCCAACATACAATATTAAAGGCATGCTGACGTCATCGATGATGTGAGCTAGCTGTTAGGTTTTTAAAAAAATAATATTTTAAATATTTTCAAATTTTTTTTGTTTTTGAAAAATATATGTATAATTGGTTTGTGACCGTTGGAGGTCAGAACAATTGATTGAAAAGTTACTTTTTTTATATATATTTAAAATCTTTTTAGATGTTTTAAATTCGTTTTGTTTATACATACATGTGTCATATATAGAATATTGTCTCTAAATAGTAGTTGAATTAAATTAAACAATACATAGTTGTAAAATGTATGAGTGTTATACCATAGTTTTTTTCAAAATAATAAAATATGAAAGGCTAAAAAATATAGCTCTGGATAGCTGGAGATGGAAAAATTTAACTATACACTATTCTTTAAAAAATTAATATTTTGAAGGGCTAAATTTATAGCCCAGGAGCGGAGCCACACTGGGACCAGTGTGGTCCCGGGCCCCTATTCAAGTTTTTACATATTTTAAAAGTAATATACTGTTATGTATTTCTATATGTATATTATTCCAAATACTTTACGTTTTGATATGTACTCACATGTGTTGTGGAGGATCTATTAAGACATAATGAAGTGCTTCAAATTGCCCATTTGCTCAGTTGATGGTGGTGTACTCTAGGTGTACAGATTACCTTATTTCTATTTTCAGCATTTAAGTAAATGTCTTTGTCCTTTTACTTTCATTTATTTTTATATTACTCAATTTACTTAAGTTTACAATGTAAATAAGGAAGTACCCTATATTTGAATTCAAATAAAAATACTAGAAAATCAAATTCCACCAAACCAAATATATGAAAAATCGGTTTTAGTGCAAAATACGATTTAGGCTAAAAATGATGGCTCATTAAGTCAATATATACTTTATACTAAAATTCCATAAAAATAAGTTTTCTTATTTGATGTGTAAGGAATAAAAGCCGTCAAAAATTATCTTGAGAAAATGATTATTTCGAAAAACCATTTTTCATACTTAGTCAATATTTTTACATAAATTTTTTTAGTTTGTGAAATTTTGATTTTTTCTTTCTATTGGGTTTAATGGGGGAAAAAGCTTTAAATATATTTACTAAATCGCTACTCTTTGTCTATCTCTTACAATTTTTCTTGCTTAAAATGTATTTGTCTATCCCTTTGTCGAGGACAATTATGATTTCAACCAATAAGCAATATAATTCTTGACATATATATATATATATATATATTATTTGTCGTATGCATTGTGAGTTTGAACTTATGATTCTTTATAATTTGTAAGAGGCCCCCACACAAATGAAATTCTGATTTCGCCACTGATTTATAGCCATATATTACATTTAACCCTATGACTGGAGATAACCATTTCCATTTCCCTGAAAAATTACCGGTACATGAAGTTAATCACCCAGCAGATTTGGGTAACCAACGTAATTTCCACCCTTTGACTTGGAGTTAGCTTTATTGACTAGTCATCAATTCCAAAAATCTTGACCTCAGGTGCTGAAGTCTACACCATTTTATTGCAGCGTGATGAATTTAATCTGGAACAAAAGCCATCTGAATAATTGACTTTTTTTCTGAGATTGAAGAGAATGCGGGTTTATTAATTAATTTAAAGAGTCCAATGAAATTCATATAATATACTCACGTCCACAAAAATCATTCATTTAACTGTTCGTTAAATTTTTTAAAAAAAAAACAAAAAAGTCATTGCTTTCATCTCTTACTATACGAGAACCACCGACCTTTTCAGCTTTTTATCAACGCAGACTTGTCAATGACAAGCACCATCATCATCAACAACACCTTCACCTCTGGTATGTTCCACGATTTGGCTATACCTTAACCTTTGATGAATTTCACGTTGGATGGTTTCTAACTATAATAATAATGAATATTAAGATTTCATTAACTAAAATTTTACATAATTGAAATTTGCAACCCCTTTTATATGTCTCGATATCTGCATGAACCTCTGGCAATTAAAAACAATTAAAAACTTTTATTTAATTTAAGACATTACAGAAATCAGTAAACATAACATCACACTTCTCATATATATATATACTGCAACAATTTCAAAACGACATGACAGTTTTTTGGGACATGATCATCCACATGGAAATTGATCAAGCCCACAACGTTTCCACTGGGACACACAAACCATGTTTATTTGACATAAGCTGAGACTGAGAACAGAGACATTAATATACTTGCTAGGACTTGGAGTTGGGATGGGGAAATATGATATTGGAGTTCTTGGTTGTAGCCTCAATGGTGGACTTGGAGTTGGAGTTGGAGTTGGAGAGAGAGTGAAAAAGAGAGGCCATAGATTGGACCATGGAATCAAACATCATTCGCTTCACTGACCTCCTCTTTGCTGGAATCACACTTGCAGAATTTGAAGTCTTTGGTTGAACGCATGTTTTTTTATTGCCTACTGCAGCCACTTCCTTACCTGGGTTCTTCTTCATTTCTTCTTCAGCTGTCATGTGTTTCCACCCCTTTGCTTAGCTTCTGGCTGTGTAAGAGTGTTACGTGTTTGATGAGTTTTGGAGTTAGGGCGGCTTGTATAAATACACAAAAAATAAAAATAAAAAAAAGGTTCGGAAACTACCCAGCACGTCCGTCAAATGCTACATGATGATGCAGTAGGATTTTATGCCACATGACGCGGCAATTTTTTTTTTAATCTTCTCAAATGATGATTTGGTTTAATGATTTGTCTATATATTTGCTACATAGAACAAAAGATTAAATAAATAATTTTTTAAAAAAGGAAAAAGAAAATATAAAAAAACAAAGTACCTCTCTCTCATCTTCTCTGTTCGATAGCTTGCTAACTACACCCACTCCATCCCTCCCCTCTCTCCGACAGGACAGCCACTAATCCAACCATATCAATTAATCAATCCTTAGCCAGGCATATTTACTCATCAAACTTAGTTTCTCCTTTTTAATTAATGAAACCCAGTCAAACAAAAATTGATTTAATTAAACAAACCCAGCAGAGACAACCTCCACACCATTCTCTCCTCCGAGCAACGCAGAGAGCTCACGGCGGCCAAAAAAAACCCAGAATCTGAACTCGCAGAGAGCAACGCAGAGAGTTTTTATTTTTATTTTTATTGTTTTACTTGTTTTTCCAGTTTTAATAGTTAATTTTTTAGTCCAATTGGCACAATATAAATGAGTTCACGTGAGACCATTGATTGCCATATCACCATTTAGCAGAGTAATTGATGGAATGATTGATGGAAGTATGAAAATGGTTAAAAAGTCAAACTTTGGGTACGAAGTTGATAAAAAAAGACCTTATGTACTAAAATCAGAATTTCAAGAAACTTCCGGATAGTAAAGTGAAATTTATCATTTTAAATAATAAAATATTTGAATTAGGAGGTGCATTTAATTAATAGTTTAAAAGTCCAAGTGTATTCAATTAAGATTCAAAAAGAGTTTGTAAAAGTTTTGGTGTATTCAATTTAGATTTCTATTGATTTTTAAAAAATGGTATTGATTTTTCCACTCCTTTTTTACCCACTTACACTTCATTTTTTTTTATAAAAATTATATATTCTCACTCATCTTTTTTTTACTTACACTCCTTTTTATCTTATTGTAAAAAATATTTAAAAAAAACAAAAGGGAGCGTAGGTGGATAAAAGGGGAGTGGAAAAATCACCACTATTAAAAAATACATCGAAATCTAGGTGTATTCAATTATGAATTTTTAAAAGTCAAACAAAGGTTAGATGTA